AAAATGTGTAATCATCATCATCATGTAGCAGGTCCTTTGCAGAACGTCACTCTCATCACAGTCTGCCTAAAAGAAACTCAGTATTTCGTCAGCTCTCCCGCCTCATGCTCTTTCATACTTAAGTAGTCACTTATATCCGGTCAAAATGGATGCTAGGCAGGGGCACTGTTTGGAGCCAAGGCACATTTTTTGCTTCTGCCGGACGGTGGTCCATGCATTTTTGCTCCATTTGTAGACTGGATAGTTTTGTTGCTCAGCTTCTGAGTTGAATGCATGGTGTGACACTGTGAGCTGCGGATTTCATTTGGAATGTTTTTTTGACTGTGACCAACGTGGTGGTGTGAATTGTAGATTCAGAAAATGGTGCGATGCCTGTAGTCGCAATGTTAGTGGTGCCCGTATGTGATTAAAATTGATCGCAACTGTTGATCTGTTGATGACTTCTACTACCATCAATGATAAACTGCATTTCTAATGTCGGACTGTTTGTGTTAGCACTTCGGATGGCTACCGTATGCTTTAATGCATGTGTATGCTAGATATGCTGAGACAGCAGTCTGTCAATCTTTCCACAAGGGACTGTGATAAAGATTCTGTGTGTTTTTTCGCTGGCACAATAGCGGAACAAAGATGGTGTGACCCATTTGCTATGAAGCTGAAACTAAGACTACCAGATTACCAGACCAGACTTAGATCCTGTGCCCATCTTCATGTTGGTCGGCCCTGCCCCTCCTTCCTGGTACCATGCCTTCTGCTAAAAAAAATTTCCAATCCATCGTGGCGCTTGTTATGACCAAAATATTTCAGCTTCCGAGACAGGATGCTGTTTATTAGCCAATCTTCTTTGATGTTCAGATCTTTCAAGATGTCAGTATTTCTCCTCTTTTTCATCCAAGATATTCTGAGAATCTTTCTATAGCATGCCATCTCAAAAGCCCCTATTCTGTTTCTCAAGGACTGAGAGATAGTCCACGACTCACGTCCGTATCTTGCTACAGGAAAGATGCATACTCTCAAAATTATAATTTTGATCTCCTTGCTGGTGCTCAAGGCTGTTTAATCTTTGCATTGCTATGGCCATCCTCCTTTTAATTTCTGTCAGTCTCCACTTCTTTTTATTATAGAGCCTAGATATTCAAAGTGTGTGACATTTTCAATTTCCTCACCATTTTTTGTTATTTTTGGGTGACAGCCAGTTTTATCTGTGGAAATTATTTTTGTTTCTTAAAATTCAAGAACAGATTTTGATCTTCACTGTGCTTTTGAACAGACAATATTAAATTTTCTATTCCCTTTACGCTGTTAGAAAGGAGGACTGTGTCATCTGTGTAGTGAAGTTCCAGAATAGGGTTGCCATCAATTGTGAGCGGGTCATAACTGTCACAAGTCTGGTCATTTTTGACATTTCTCATTATGTTTTCTGCGTATATATTGAATAGGTATGGTGAGAGAATGCACCCCTGCCTCACTCCCATTTGCACCTCGAATCAATCAGATGTTTTACCAGCTGCTCTAATGGCTGCTTGTTCTTCTTAATAAAGATTTTCTATGAAATGATTTTTAATTAAATGCACTGTGTAATACGCTGGCAAATTGTGCAGTCAGGACAAACCTCACTTAGTCATACATACACATAATAAATACCAGTGAAAGTGAACATTGAAAACAACTGTCTTCACTATAAGATCACTTAATTTCAAAAGAGTTATGACGAAAGTTCACAAACTGCTTCAGATGCTGATCTGGAGCAGACATAGGTGATCACGACTATCAAACCTTCTTCCCGGTTACTCAGATGTTTACATTATTTCTTTTGCTGTCCTTCTATTGAAGCTTATCATGTACATTATTCTGTTTTTCTTTGCCTTATATTTGGCTAATTTCTCTATTTCACCTCTTCTGTTGCTATTCTTCATAAATTTCATGTCTATAACAAGAAAACAGAAATCATGTCCCCATGAATATACATATGTGCACACATAAAAATGTCATGTTAATAACAAACTTTTGACTTTGTAACCAGGAACAAATGAATCAGACTAAGAGATTTCTTGAATATGCAAATATTATCATTGAATACACAAATAAAAAAATTAAAAAACATAAATAAATGTTAACAGGATACCAGAACAAATATCTCATAGTAAATTTTAACTGTAAAGCATAGGTTAGCAAAGAAGACGAAACTGAACTAGATACTTTTTCAAAAATAATTTGTAGAAATATTTCAGGTTCTGAAGGCACCAAAATGGAGGATTTGTTGTTATTGTATGTGTGCGTGATGTTACTGGTACTGCTGATAGTATAGCTCTGCACCTGAAAAGATACAGCAGCACAATTGACTTTATATGCTACTGGAAATCCATGTCAATAAAGAAATAGCAATAACATTCAAGCAATGATGGATGATTACAAGAAACTTAATAAAACTGTTGAAAGACTGGTCAAAGAAAATAGCATGGTATATATTTTTTTCTAAAAACATTCATTGGGATGAAAAAATAATATGCATCCGGTGACTCATGCTGTAACCCTGTGACCTCTATCACTGTCGCTTAAGGGGAAATTTAGCATTAACTTGGGTTCTACACCATTTGGGACATAAAGAAAGCAATTTGTAGTTATAATATTCACATTCTGACCTATTAAACACTGTTCACATGCACAAAGGAACGGTAGAATTTAAGTACGCGTTTCCACAGGTCACTGAAGACAAAGCCATAGATCAGCAATCTGTACAGGACTGTGTCGCAGTTTGTGATATTCCTGTTTGTTATATGGTCAGTATGTGTATAAATAGAGGACAATTCCATATTTTTGGTAGTACGCTCATTTATCAATTAGGCATTTAACCACAGCTTGTAAAAGTTTACCAAAGATATTTCTGGAAAAGAAAGATGGCAGAGTAGTGAGCTAGTCACACAACCTAATGAACCAGCTAGTCACACTACCTAATGAACCAGCTAGTCACACAACCTAATGAACCAGCTAGTCACACAACCTAATGAACCGGCTAGTCACACAACCTAATGAACCGGCTAGTCACACAACCTAATGAACCAGCTAGTCACACAACCTAATGAACCGGCTAGTCACACAACCTAATGAACCGGCTAGTCACACAACCTAATGAACCGGCTAGTCACACAACATAATGAACCGGCTAGTCACACAACCTAATGAACCGGCTAGTCACACAACCTAATGAACCGGCTAGTCACACAACCTAATGAACCGGCTAGTCACACAACCTAATGAACCGGCTAGTCACACAACCTAATGAACCGGCTAGTCACACAACCTAATGAACCAGCTAGTCACACAACCTAATGAACCAGCTAGTCACACAACCTAATGAACCGGCTAGTCACACAACCTAATGAACCAGCTAGTCACACAACCTAATGAACCGGCTAGTCACACAACCTAATGAACCGGCTAGTCACACAACCTAATGAACCAGCTAGTCACACAACCTAATGAACCAGCTAGTCACACAACCTAATGAACCGGCTAGTCACACAACCTAATGAACCAGCTAGTCACACAACCTAATGAACCGGCTAGTCACACAACCTATTGAACCAAACTGCATATGAGACTTTTTTACAGCAGAACATCTGGGAGGAAGACCTTAGAAAGAGATAAATGGTGTAGCTGAAACCTGCTAAAAGATGATTAAATCTATGATCCAAGCCATCTACGACACGTAAGACAAATACAGAAAAGCACGACACTGAGATACAACCTGGTAACTGAGATGACAAAAGAAGAAGTAGTAAGTGATAACTATCACTGTCATATATCTAGTCCTTTACAGAATGTAGCTCCCATCGCAGTCTGCCTGAGAGAAACTTGGCCCCCACCACGCCTTCCATCACAGTCTGCCTGAGAGAAACTTGCCCCCCCCCCCCCTCCTCCCATCAAAGTCTGCCTGAGAGAAACTTGGCCCCCACCACGCCTTACATCACAGTCTGCCTGAGAGAAACTTGGCCCCCACCACGCCTTCCATCAGTCTGCCTGAGAGAAACTTGGCCCCCACCACTCCTCCCATCACAGTCTGCCTGAGAGAAACATGGCCCCCACCACGCCTTACATCAGTCTGCCTGAGAGAAACTTGGCCCCCACCACTCCTCCCATCACAGTCTGCCTGAGAGAAACTTGGCCCCCACCACTCCTCCCATCACAGTCTGCTTGAGAGAAACTTGGCCCCCACCACTCCTCCCATCACAGTCTGCCTGAGAGAAACTTGGCCCCTACCACGCCTTACATCACTGTCTGCTTGAGAGAAACTTGGCCCCCACCACGCCTTCCATCACAGTCTGCCTGAAAGAAACTTGGCCCCCACCACTCCTCCCAGCACAGTCTGCCTGAGAGAAACTTGGCCCCCACCACGCCTTCCATCAGTCTGCCTGAGAGAAACTTGGCCCCCAACACTCCTCCCATCACAGTCTGCCTGAGAGAAACTTGGCCCCCACCACGAATTACATCACAGTCTGCTTGAGAGAAATTTGGCCCTCACCACTCCTTTGTTTTTCCTAGGACCCTTTACTGTTCTTTCTAGGCCATTGTAATGTTTGATATGTGCAAGGTCCTTAAACATCTAAGAAAAGATGCTGTTCATTAGGGTTTTTGATGTTTGAATCTTTTAGAATGTCAATATTTCTTATTTTAAATCTTTATTATTTATTAAGTCACATTACTGAAACAAACAAGACCCTTTACTATGTTATTAAATATACTTGGTACAGTGTTAGTTTATAATTTTCTGACTTATGGGCATTTCATTGCTGATATGATCAATGGTTTGATGGTCATGATTTCTCAGAGTTGACCACATGACCCATCAAGGGCTGATTGGTCTATACGAATATGAGTCTAGCTTTATATGCACAATGAAAAAATTTTTTTAAAAGATCTTTACTTGAATTTTAAAAAAATCCTTAATCAGGATTTAAACACATTACCGCTGGCTACCAGTGAGCCATCACAGATTTGATTCAATACGAATGATATACTGATTCAGTAAGAGATGTTTGTCCAATGTGACTCACTAGAATTATGTACCATATTTGGAGAATTTTGTCACACAAATAATTGACTTTCCATTTACTATGCCGAAATGGTTTTCCTGAATTTGTGTTAGGGTCCCTTAACTGTAGAACAAACCGAGATCTGTAAAATGGATGTGCATACAAAACCCACATTCTAGAACAAAACTATGTCCAGAATGTCCAGAAGGAAATGAACCTACAGAACCTCTAGAGGACTTAGGTTGTCGATACTTCATGGTACCTATTTTACACTGGAATTACCTAGGATTTGCAAGTTTTCACTAATTCACAATGTACTCAAAGAATGTGGACTATCTACTTCTAAAGGCAGTAACCAGTTTTTCTTTGTGAGTTCATTTCTTTGAACAAATGAACAAAATTTATTTTTAAAGGGATAAAAATTGGGCACACAGGCCTTTTTTATTCTTTTTTACCTGTCCATAGTGTTTTTATTTTTCTAGAAGAACTCCACAACAACTTAAACATCATTTCTAACTTATCTACTATCTGTCCATGATTCACATCAATACATTAGGATTGGCTCTATACATCACATTAAAACACTCTCACTTCAATTGACAAAGAAATATTAGATATCTTTTGAATGATGGCTGCCTTTAGTGGGCCCTAAAATAGTGCTGAACGCAATAGTCCTTAACACTGTGGAAGAACTGATTATTGACTTGGTGGTCCTGAACTTGTCGCTACTGCAGTAGGACTGTATATTCTTCTCAATGAGTATTCAGTTCAGGCAACTCTCCAACTTGTTCCAAATGCTTTCTGTACGAATCTGTCAGTTTATTTCTTTGACACAGTTTATTTCTTTGACAGATTGCTTGTCACTGTTTCTACTTTGTTGCTAATAAGTTTTTTGTTTTTGTTTTTAATATGCATACATTTTTGCAAGAAACTTTTATCTAAACACACAATATTACAATGTTGAACATAACTGCAATGTTCACATTTCCTTGTGATGCAGCAAATAATACATTATATTTTACTTTACAAAGGAACAGTAATACAGCAAAAATAAAAAGCAACTGGGTGACTTAAAAAAAAAAAAGAGAGAGAGAGAGAGGAGAGAGAGAGAGAGAAAGAGAGAGAGAGAGAGAGAGAGAGAGAGAGAGAGAGAGAGAGAGAGAGAGAGGAGAGAGGAGAGAGAGAGAGAGAGGAGAGAGAGAGGAGAGAGAGAGAGAGGTAGAGAGACAGAGAAAGTTTTAGATGTAGCATTTGAAATGTCCCAGTTTGTTGCTAAGTTGAGTGGCTATATTTGTTTAAATGTTCCAGTTTGTTGCTAAGTTGAGTGGCTATATTTGATTAAATGTTCCAGTTTGTTGCTAAGTTGAGTGGCTATATTTGATTAAATGTCCCAGTTTGTTGCTAAGTTGAGTGGCTATATTTGATTAAATGTCCCAGTTTGTTGCTAAGTTGAGTGGCTATATTTGATTAAATGTCCCAGTGTGTTGCTAAGTTGAGTGGCTTTTGAATGTCCCAGTGTGTTGCTAAGTTGAGTGGCTATATTTGATTAAATTAAATCATTCTGAAACTGGACATCAGTAGATAATTTAACATACCTGGGATCACTTTTCCAACAACATATGATGGGGTAGTAGATGTTATAGGCACTTGGACCTCACGAGCAATAGGAATAGTAGGAGCTAATGGACGTCCTTGGTAAGTGCTGGCAGAAACTGGTGCTATATGTAGCTCAGAACCTGATATTTAATAAAAACATGGAAAGCTAATTAACCCTTAGAAGATATAGTAAAATGGTGCTAATATTTTTCCTTAATAATTGTGAAATACAAGACATAAAAAACAGAAGTTATAGAACTCATAGTCTTATCACTTGAAAATCATCTAAATGGTACCAGCTTTGAAGTGATCCTAATATGCTAACTACAGTTGTCATTATGGTCATGTCCTCTTTGTTGAGATCAAGTTAAAACAGGGTCTCGTCTCTTGATGTCACATTGGCTTTTTTATATTGCTAAAAATATACAACTATAAATATAAAAGTCTTTGCACCAATGGCAGACAGCACAGAGAAAGAAAAGCAATGATATTGTTTACAAAAAACTCAGTACTATATAGCCTCAACACAGTGTAAAAACCTGGAAACAACTGAAGTGCTCAGTAATTTTAATGCAAAGTTAAGTCCTTTATGTTGAGGCAGTTGTGCTGAAATGCCTACAATTCTCAATGCTCTCAAGATTATGTTTGGCAGCAATGGACATGGAATGCTTACCATATCAAAGAGTCAGCTAATGAAACTTGAACACATAAAGAATGAAGCCATGCAGGTAATTCTGGGACATACAAGAGATACCCGGTATTATGTATGCGATATATACTATTGCCGACAGGTTTAAAGTTTTGTAAGTAAAGTCATTTCTCAGAATAGCTGCAGACAAAAAGCACCTCCTGCATGAAGCCCTGAATAGAGCTAAAGGTCACAGACTGAAAAGAGGAAGGTCTTGGATAGCCTAAGCTATCAGAGCAAGTGTCATAGCAAGTTTAAGACTTGTGTAGGTTCTTATCACTTTAGGATGCTGTTTATAATCTGTTTCTTGGCGCTCATACCTATGTTAGGATGTCTTAATTACTGTGTCAGTTGGTATGGTATATAAGTGCAAATAGTAGCTCATATATTGTATATGAATCTAATTCTTCCTCTGGAAACTAAAGTTTCTCATTTTCTGGATTGACTGCTTTAAAACTGGCTTCTTTTGATATTCTGTCTGTGAATATAGTAAATAAGAGAGGAGACAAGAACACATCCCTGTATATCTCTGCACGATGCACACACTTATCTTGTATTACCTTTCCTTTTCCAAACTGGTATCATCAATGTCTGCTGTCAGTCAAGTGGAATTTGCCTGTCTTCCCATGCTGTATTGAACATTCTTGTTAGCCATCTGATGCCAGTTTGCCCACATGCTTGAAGAGCTTCTGTAGTTATTCCTTCTGAACCAGGTGCTTTATTTTTAGTGCTCCTTTTTATATCAGCTTTTACTTCTGATGTTAAACAGTTTGGTTTATGTTGGTCACTGCTTTTAGGCACAAAACTCGTTTTCAGGGTTGATTAGCTCTTTAAAATATTCTGCCCATCTTGTTGGCCTTTGATGTGGATTAAATACAGGACGGCCTCTCTTGTTGTTTATAATCGTGGATTATAGCATTCGTCTCTTCCTCTCATATTTGTAACCTGTAAAATTCTCTAGGGGTACTTATACAAGCTGTGGCCATCTGCTCTCTAAACTTTTCCCATGATTCATCTTTATAAGGTTTTATCTTTCGTTTTGTATCTCTTCTCATAAATCTGTTTGTAACATATTCTTTTTTCACATTTGGATTTCATCTATTTCTTGTATGCTTTCTTCTTTTATGAAATATCTTTGTCATTGTTATTCCACAATGCTTTTCTTAATCGTTTGTCTTGTCTTGATTTTTTGGCACCACATTTGTTTTTAACCCTTTTGCTGCTATGTACTCCACCAGCGAACTTTACCACTGTTCTAAGCAAGTCCCTGCTGAACTTTCCCCCTATGCAGAATACTTTTCTGTCCTCAAAATGCAAAACATAAGTTGGTGGTGAAGGCTCCATTTTGTACATCTGAAAATATTTACCACAGGTAAGTGGGCAATGGCCCGATTGCTGACAAATCAGACACACTATGGAGATGCCAGGAAACACATTTACAGACAGGAAACACTAGAAACTAGACTTATTTGCTTGGCCTCACTCGGGATAGTGAAAGAAAATTTGTCCTTGGCTAAGTCTATCTTTGTCTCCATCGCTACCACATATGTAGTAGAAACACAGGGAACACAATAGTAGCCTTCCGATTGTCAACAGGAACATGAAACTAATGTGAATTGGTGATTTTTTGGGGCAGTCCCTGAAAAAGTGTGACAGTTTCCATGTATGCATACTCATCGGTTAGGATCAGATGGAGGAATGCTGTCAGGTCAAGAAAATTCATGGTGAAAGGGATGTTACAAAGTGAGAACTTGCGTGCAAACAGGGCACAGTTATAGTGATGAGCAAATGATAGTAACAAATACTGGAATCGATTGTGCAATAAACGATGAACATTATTTGACTTCGGGTCCAAAATGGAGGACTAGGCACGGCTAGGAATGTTTTGCTTCTAGGTTATTTTTGCTTCCAACAGCGCTTTGCTAATGCAGTTTACACATATGGACGGAAGTCTAGTTTCACTGCCTGAGCTAGAGAGTTTAGTGTTTAATGCAACACTGTGAGCTGTGTTTTTCATGTGGAATGCCTTTCATTTGTGCAGCGGTGGTTGGATCGTGGGATTCAATATGGCCAGTAGCCTGTTTACTTGTGAGCTGGTGAAATACCTTATGTAATAATTCTACATGTTTTTAGCCAACTTATCATGTCTAACTTCTTTCATGAATGACAAACTACATATCTGGTGGTGACTGTTGGCTTTGGCATCTCTAGCAACTGCTATATGCATTTACTTAGTGGGGGCGTGGATTTTTAATTGCAACATAATTCATCCGAACCCTATGTTGACTTTGTATACTACTGCATTATCTATCCTGGTATTTTTATCTATCAGCTGTTGTATCTGCCAACCACTGTACCACAGTCTACATTCTCTTCCTAATGTGATGATGACCTGGTAGAACAAGCTGTTGTTTGTCTCAATCTAAAATACATTTTTAGTTGATAAGTCTGCTCTACATGATGTTTATATGCAATCAAATGCCACACCCAAGTATTTCATCCTATCTCTTCTTTTAAGATGTATATCATGTATAGATGCTAGGCATTTGTTAGTTTTCAATGTTCATGGAGCACCACAAAACATTGGTCATCTCATGGTTCACCCTTGAATCAGTCTGTTCACAACAGTCTACTATCTCCTGTAAAGCCCTTTATGTCTCTGGTTATTTCATGCCTATCTGACAAAATAGGATCAGACACCATCTGCAAATGTCAAGGTCTGTCCCTTGGCTACACTTGATACATATCTGTTGAACAATACAGGTGAAAATTGTGATCTTTGAGGGAAGCCAGAATATTTCATACTGGATCCAACCTCAACATTCCCAAACAGAACAATCATGTTCTAGTAAACAGTGATCAGCCAGCCAATGGTTTATGCCACAGTCCATCAAGCACTGCATAAGATGTGTGAAATCAACAACGTTATAATCATCTTCAAGATCCATCACCAAAGGATATAAGGACACTTTGCTGGTTCAATGTTGGAACTGAAATAAGACACAATTTCCTCCTGTTCTTCCTCACTTAAATTTATCATTGAAATATATCTGATCTGGGTGCACTGCCTTTTGTTCTCTTTAGCAAACCCTTGATATCCTTCATCTACATGTCATGTCTTATTCCTGGCTGATCTAGGACTAACAGCCACCCTTCTTAGGTTCTTATAATTTTAATCTGTCTGCTCTTAAAATATCCCTCCCCCCCCCCCCCCCCCCCCCCCCCCCCCAAAAAAAAAAAAACTGAATGACTCTAGTCAGTTATCAGGAGCTGACCAATTTCATTTCCCAGATTCCTGCTTGGGTTCCTCCAGTGTTGTTAGGGAAACATCAACATCCTTACCAGCACAGAACAGCAGGTTACATTTGGCTGGTATAGTCACTATGGGAGCCCTAAAACTTTTTGAGGGTTGAATGGGGTATCCAGAATCTACCTTGTTGGTTGCCATCCAGATTGAGATCTTGAAATCTCAGGTATGTATGGTAAATGTAATGATGATCTGAAAGGGTCAGTTTTTAAACAATTTATTTATCTAGTTACTCGAATGTAATCATAAGATTTTAGATATTGGGCATAGCTTGTACAATTTATTTCCAGGCACATTTTATTGTACTGTATTGCAATGTATTGTGTCCACATTATACATACTCATTACAGGAAAACAATGTTTTGAATATCTAAAACATCACCTGCCACCACCAACAGTCAAGTGACTTGATGGACTATTTAACCACCAACAGTCAAGTGACTTGATGGACTATTTAACCACCAACAGTCAAGTGACTTGATGGATTATTTAACCACCAACAGTCAAGTGACTTGATGGATTATTTAACCACCAACAGTCAAGTGACTTGATGGATTATTTAACCACCAACAGTCAAGTGACTTAATGGATTATTTAACCACCAACAGTCAAGTGACTTGATGGATTATTTAACCACCAACAGTCAAGTGACTTGATGGATTATTTAACCACCAACAGTCAAGTGACTTGATGGACTATTTAACCATCAACAGTCAAGTGACTTGATGGATTATTTAACCACCAACAGTCAAGTGACTTGATGGATTATTTAACCACCAACAGTCAAGTGACTTGATGGATTATTTAACCACCAACAGTCAAGTGACTTGATGGATTATTTAATCTAAAATGCAAAATGCAGTACAGGATTTCCGGTTACAGTTTCTGAAGAAATGCATCAAAACATAATTATTTTCCCATCGCTACTTCAGATCTCTGATGGCCAACAAGATATGTCCAACATCTAGAAACCTGAGGTGATAACAGTGAACCTCTGGTAACTAGATGAATACATTGCACCAAGAGACACCAATCTAATTTCAGTGGATTTTTTTAAAGTTTTTTTTACTTCATTGTATGTTGATGTGACTCTGTAGTAACATACTTGACAAGATACCGTGAAGTATGCCTGACAATAAACTGTGCAGTGTATTGTTTGCATCTGAATTTTGAATAAAGAATCAAAATCATAGCACTCAGGACACTCTTATAAGCGCTCCATCCACATCTTCAGCAGCAAGCAAACAGTTCCAATTCCGACAGTACCAGTAATTATCTGATTGTACATCCATCTTTTCCTAAAGTGTTGAGCGTCGGCCCAGATCCCCTGATAACTCCCTGCAGCCCCATTCTCCTCAGACCCTAATGATCTGTTTGTTTCTCTGCACTATTCACTCACTCTCAAAGGTCCCTCACAACATCCAGCTTGTCATGCATCAATTCACAACCAACTGGTGCAGAACTGGCCAATCAATTTGACAGCTCATTTCCTAACACACCAACATCACTTGGAGATAATAATGAAAGGATGCTAACTACTTAGGACCTCTGAAGCGATGCTTGCCACTCTGCACAGAGCTTGCCTGTCTCCACCTTTCTCCACATATTCTGTGGGTCAGTTACAATGATGACATTTATGTATAGCTGATTCTCGATCCAGTGGAAGGCAGCAGTCATTGCCTCCACCTCCATTTCCAAACTAGATATTATGATATCAGATTCTAGTCTTTGCTGCATTAAGAAACGTCCATTGCCCTTTGTTGTGAACCCCCATGCACTTCATCTACCTCTCAACACACAGCCATCTTTATAGATAATCACATCACCCAAGCGCCAATTGTTATGAATCATCTGTTGAATGTCTTGATTCTGCAGCGCCAGCTGGCCAGTCCCTGCACTCACGAACCAAAGTGATAAGAACCCTACACAAGTCTGAAACTTGCTCAGACACTTTGACCATCTCCTCTCCTCACCCAAATGTATCAAGCCTGCACGCATGTCCAATTGTGTCCTCAGCTTGCATCATCCTGGACCTTCCTAGTTTCAGTCTGTGACCCCTAGCTCTGCCTATGGCTTCATGCAGGAGGTGTTTCTTGTCTGCAGCTACTCTGAGATATGACTTATACATCAAAAAAATACTCTCATGGCTTCATTCTGTGTGTGTTCAAGTTTCATCAGCTGATTATTTGATGTGGCAAGCATTCCAATTCTATAATCTATCACTGACAGGACCACATGCTGGAATATTGTGAACAGCATTCTTTGTTCCACTGACGTCATAGTTTTGAGTGCATCGAGTCCTTTTTGGCATTTCTGTGTCAGCGTTAAACTAAATTTATTTATATTGAAAGCAAATTGGTGTTGAAACATTTTAAGATATATAGAAGAGGTTATCAGTAAACACAGAGTAAAGCATTATACAGAATGTATTTCCCAGAGCCTAAAAAACCCATTTGTATTGTGTGACTCCTGCCATGACACCATGATCTTTATCACTGAGGCTTACCGGAAAAGTGGACATCAACTTGGCTTTAAAAAAGCCATTAGTTACTATATTAATCATCATCATCATCAGGTGCCTTGCGTGGGCGATCATGCCTCTCCATAATCCGCGATCTCCTGCAGCATGTATCAGTTCGTGTGCCGACACACCTCCATGCCATGCAACAAGACTGTCAAGCATCTTCTCTCCTTGTCTTCCTCTATCCCTCCTTCCACAGATCTTTCCAGTGGTCACAACATGTTCTATTTTCCCTCTTCTCATAACATAGCCGAAAAATGATGACTGTCTCCTTCTGATGTCAGTGATAAGTTGTCTTCGGTCTCCCGCCTCTTTTAAAACCTCTTGGTTGCTCTTTTTGGCTGTCCAAGGTATTCTAAGCATTATTCTGTAAAACCACATCTCTGAGGCCTCCAAAAATTGTTTGGCCTGCCTACCGATTGTCCAGGATTCACATCCATATGTTAAAACTGAATGTATTTAGCAAGCAAGAATTCTTTTTCTAACTCTCAATGACAAGGATATATTGCACAAGATGTTTTTCATTTTATAAAATGCAGTTTTTGCCTGTCCAATTATATTAATAATAACTATATTAATACCCTGGCCTATTAAACATTGCACAGGTGCCCGATGTACCAATCAAATTTAACTATGCTTTTCAAGAACAGGACACTCTGACAGGCTGACATATCAGCATTAACAAGATTTTGTCACAATCGAAAGTGACTGGATTTAGTCACAATCGGAAGTGACTGGATTTAGTCACAAAGGGAATTATTTTAAATTAAACGATATGTAACAAGGTTTAGAAAGAACAAGCAAGAGGACTTTACCCCCCCCCCCCTCCCAACCACCCAAAAAAAAAAAAAAGTAAAAGAAGAAAGGATACTTGTTATACTTACTTTCGATAGGTATGCCAAGTTGCATCAAAGTATACTCTGCTGCATATATTTTGGCCTCCTCAACTGTGCGACACAACTTATTTGGTTGTACTGTCTGAGAAGGTATAGCTGGAATTGTCACCTAGTAAAATCAATTAATCATGATTTAGAATATTAGATTTTTGCTACACTTCATTTAGCTTTATTTTCTTCTAAAATATGGTTTTCATATTTTATTATCAATAATACAAATCAGTGGACAAGTGTTGTGTGGGGAAATATCAGAAAAGAGATTATGACTGAAGCAACAAATCATCCGTATCATTATTGTGTGTTTGTCGATAAGCGTAGGCAGTCATGTTTCCCATCTCACACAATGACTACAATCATTGATCTGGTCAGTGTTCTTGTCTTATCCCATCCAGACGGCTAGGCCAAGCTCTCCGTGAAGTTAGCTCTCTTTGCTTGCCAGTCGTTACCAAGTTCTTGACTTATCCCATCCAGACGGCTAGGCCAAGCTGTCCATGAAGTTAGCTCTCTTTGCTTGCCAGTCGTTACCAAGTTCTTGTCTTATCCCATCCATACGGTAAGGCCAAGCTGTCCATGAAGTTAGCTCTCTTTGCTTGCCAGTCGTTACCAAGTACTGAAGTCCATTTCATTTCATAACAAGTCTGAAAAAACAACCAGAAGAATCAAATCCTAAGCCTCAGCTCCCAAATAGGAAACTATTGCATCTCACTGTTAAACATCTGAGGTATTGTATCTCACCGTTAAACATCTGAGGTATTGTATCTCACCGTTAAACATCTGAGGTTTGTTTCTCACTGTTAAACATCTGAGGTATTGTATCTCACTGTTAAACATCTGAGGTATTGTATCTCACTGTTAAACATCTGAGATATTGTATCTTACTATTAAACATCTGAGGTATTGTAGCTCACTTTTAAACATCTGAGGTTTGTTTCTCACTGTTAAACATCTGAGGTATTGTATCTCACTGTTAAACATCTGAGGTATTGTATCTCACTTTTAAACATCTGAGGTTTGTTTCTCACTATTAAACATCTGAGGTATTGTATCTCACTGTTAAACATCTGAGGTATTGTATCTCACTGTTAGACATATGAGGTATTGTATCTCACTGTTAAGCATCTGAGGTTTGTTTCTCATTTTTAAACATCTGAGGTTTGTATCTCACCATTAGACATCTGAGGTATTGTATCTCACCGTTAAACATCTGAGGTTTGTTTCTCAATTTTAAACATCTGAGGTTTGTATCTCACCGTTAAACACCTGAGGTATTGTATCTCACCTTTAAACATCTGAGGCATTGTATCTCATTGTTAAACATCTGAGGTATTGTATCTCACTGGTAAACATCTGAGGTATTGTATCTCACTGTTAAACATCTGAGGTATTGTATCTCACTGTTTAACATCTGAGGTTTGTATCTCATTGTTAAACATCTGAGGTTTGTTTCTCACTGTTAAACATCTGAGGTATTGTATCTCACTGTTAAACATCTGAGGTTTGTATCTCACTGTTAAACATCTGAGGTTTGTTTCTCACTGTTAAACATCTGAGGTATTGTATCTCACTGTTAAACATCTGAGGTATTGTATCTCACTGTTAAACATCTGAGGTATTGTATCTCACTGTTAAACATCTGAGGTATTGTATCTCACTGTTAAACATCTGAGGAGGATATTCTCATAATTCATGTATAAAACCACATCTAAGTATTCACTAATTTATTAACTGTCCATGATTCACTTCCATCTATATTAATAAAAATGTTAATTTTCCGATGTTGTTAGCTAAAAACTCGGAAACTACTGAACCGATTGCTTTCAAATTTGCACACAACGTTGCCTTTGATTTCAAGCCTGATTTTTTGTCAGAAAATCGCACAAACCACGAACGACGTAGCTCCAGCAACGGTCAAATTATTTGTTTCCTTGCTTTTTGTTTTTAATCATTTAGCCACCTTTGACTGTGTAACACCAAACTTCACATTATTATTATATACTTTCATTTCTACCTAAGTATTTAGTTAGTTGTAAGCATTTAGCTTTTTACTCGGGTGATAGGGGTTCGATTCCCCGCTGGGTAATATAATTTTTTTGGGGGGAGCCCCTAGCTGGGTGGCTGCCAAGTTTTGTTGTGGTTTATAGCTAGGCTGCATATCTACGCTTTTTTTCCGTTTGATTTTGGGGTTTACAGCTAGCCTGCGATAGCAGCGACGTGATGCTCAATATGCATGTCATGGGTAATATTCGTTCGCCTTTGAGAGGGCGGTTGTCACGTTGTGTTACACGTATCTGACCTAAAGTCTTCAGTCTTCGGTAGTAGAGTTGTAAGTATTCCACCCTTCATGAATGACCGGTGTTTGATTCCCCGCTGCTAATTTTTCTTTTTCCCCCTAGGGGCAATTGGCATGTTGTGGTGTGGTTTACAGCTAAGTTGCGACATCTGCGCCTTACGCCCAAAGACATCCGATTTCAGTACAGTCCCATTTAGCCTCCCCCCGACGCTTCACTCGATCAAAAAGTATTAGTTGATGACAAAAACTGTTAACTAAGAAGGCTTACGGTCCAGTTTGGTTTGGGTCGACACGGATGCCAAGGTTAGTTAAACATTGTCCCTTCGGAGAGGGAGATATGCCGAGTGCAGGTTTATTTTTCCGCTATTTGTGAGTATAGTGTACTTTTTTTTTTAAATCACGGAATATTACTGTGGGTTCCGCCACTGGTTAGGTGATGGAGTTTTATGTCGGGGACGCACTTAAACTAAACAGTTCGTAGCGACAGCATGCGGCGCCAACTCCTCTGTCTAGTTAACTGAGAGATCTTAAAATATTATTTTAACGTTCTCATTTCTTAACTATTTTTATTTTAACAATGTCGCCACGTGATAGTTGTTAAATCATTCTGAGAGGGAGATATGACTGGGGAAGGGGGGGGGGGATTATGACAGACACTGTTAGCTCAGAAAGCTTATATGACTTTATTTTACAGTTCTCATTTCTTACATGTTTATATTGTAATACATCTTTCTCAGCTATTTTCATTTTCAGTTAGAGGTATAGCAGTCAGTTTTACTTTCACCTGTTTAAGCACAACAGATGCTTTAGCCTCGATAAACAAATAATATTTTATTATCTCTCTCTAACAGTGCACTTTATTCGACCACTAATATCGACATTCACTGATATGTTGCGTGTTCTAGAGTTGGCATATCAGACTATCTCTGTAGCAGTGCATTGACTGTCAGGCGATGACATTCCCATACTTCGTAGAGGATGATATGATTGTCACGGGGTGGGGGGTGTTGAGGGGGGGTTGATGCCAGACACTGGTAACTGAGAGAGCTTAAAACATTATTTTACAGTTCTCATTCTTAACTATTTCTATTTTAACAATGTCGCCACATAATAATGTTTCAATCATTCGGAGAGGGAGATATAATTGAGCAGATGCTTGAGTCCTTGGTAGCGTAGTTGTATATTTTGCGTGTTACGCGGGTGACTGGCGATCAATGCGCTGCTGGGTGATCAAATATTTTTTTTTTGCCCTTAACTAAGTGGCTGGCACGTTGTGTTGTGGTTTACAGCTAGGCTGCGATATCTGACCCACACTCTTCAGTCTTAGTTAGTATAGTTGAAAGTAATCTGCCCGTCACGCGGTTGACTGGTGTTCGATTACCCACTGGGTGCTAATTTTTCTTTTTCCCTCAAGAGGGCTGTTGGCACGTTGTGTTGTGGTTAACAGCTAGGCTGCGATATCTGCGCCTTTCACCCAAAGATATCCAATTTTAGTAAAGTCCCATTTATCTTCCCCGCGACGCTTCACTCGATCATAAACTATTCGTTGATGACAGACGCTGTTGACTAAGACTGCTTACAGTCCAGTTTACTTTGGGTGGACACGGATGCCAAGATTGCCATATATTTCCGCTATTTGTGAGTATATAACGGACTCTTTGGGTTCCATCACTGGTTCATTCATTCATTCAGTAGCATGTCCCTCGCGGAACCTCGCTGCCATAACAACCCTCCGGAAAACCTTCCTGAGCAAGATGTCCTGCGTCTGATACACCCATCTGGAGATCATCTGCCACATCCTGCACCCATCTTCTCCTTGGACTTCCTCTTCCTCTCTTCCCAGGCATATACCCCTCCATTATTGTTCTCTCTAGACTTCCATGACGTTTCAAGTGACCAAAATATTTCAATTTTCTTTGTTTTATTGTCTTTACTAGCCAACCCTCTTCAATATTCAGCTCTTGAAGTATGGATGCATTTGTTCTTTTCTTTACCCAAGATATTCTTAGAACCTGTCTGTAACATTTATATTCAAATGCATTTATGCGCTGTTCCGCTTGTTTAGTAAGTGTCCAGGTCTCACAGGCGTATGTTGCAATGGGAAAGATGCATGCTCTTAAAAATCTGACCTTTGTAATTCTATCTGTACAATTCCATAATTTATTCAGTTGTTTTAGTCTTTGAAGAGCAATTGATAGTCGCCGTTTAATTTCTTTCATTGTGTCACCATTGTTGGTAACCAGTGACCCAAGATATTCGAAATTTTCCACCACTTCCAATCTTTCCTCATTAACATATATTTCCTTCTCCATGGCAGTTTTGTTTGTATGCATTATCTTTGTTTTTGCTATGTAAAGAAATAAGTTATGATTTTCACTATTTCTTTGGAGTGAGGTTAATAAGTTTTCTAAACCATTTTGTGATGTTGATAGTAATACTGTATCATCAGCATAACGAATTTCTGGTATTTCATGACCACCGATGTTTAGGGCATCATATTGTTCCTTGTTTATATCATCTCTTACATTTCTCATTATATTTTCGGCGTACAGGTTGAACAAATACGGTGACAGCACACATCCCTGACGGACTCCTTGTTTGATGCCAAACCAGTCTGATGTCTCTCCATCTATTCTGACTGCTGCTTGTTGGTCTTGATAGAGCCATCACTGGTTAGGTGATGGATATTTTTTTCTTTGATTGGAGCTCAATTACACTAAACAGTCCGTGGCGACAAACATGCAGCGCTAACTCCTCTGGCTACACCGACCTGCACAGACAGTAGTGACTGCTTTTTGTTTTTGTTCTGAAGGTGGTGATGGTAGTGGTTGTAGTAGTACTGGTACTGGATGGGTGATGTGGTAGCTGTTACACTGGCTACATTTATTTCTCAGTACACATTAATGCTACCCATTTTTGTCTGGGTGGACACGGATGCCAAGCTCAGTTTAGTTACAATATTTGGTCAGATGATGACTTTCCCATCCTTCGGCAAAGATGATATGATTAGTGGGGGAGGGGGAGAGGGGTTGATGCCACACTGTTAACTGAGAGAGCTTACAACATTATTTTAAAGTTATCATTTCTTAACTATTTCTATTTTAATAATGTCGCCAAATGATGATTTTTCATTCCTTCAGAGAGGGACATATTTTTGGGGGAGGTGGGGGAGGGGGTTATGCCAGACACTGTTAGCTGAGAGGGCTTACAACATTATTTTCACGTTCTCATTTCTTAACTATTTCTATTTTACTACTTTTGCCAGGGATGATTTTTCAATCTTTCGGAGATGGAGATATGACTGGGTGAAGGGGAGAGGGAAGAGGGGTGAGGGTTATGACAGACACTGTTAGCTGAAAGTAATGAGCATTATTTTTCTGAACAGACCCTATAAATAAGTTGTACGTAGATTTAAGGTTTGAAAACAGTCATTAAAAAAATTTAAAAAACCAAGACTGAAATAATTTATTTTCTGCCTGTTCCTTGCAATATATTAAACAAAAACAAATATCTATGTAAAGCAATCACAAAATATAATCTAAGAAGGTGGGGGGAAGGGGGGTCTAAGACAAAGGCATTAAATTAAAAATGAAATAATATATCAATTAAAAATGAAATAATATATCAATTAAAAATGAAATAATATATCAATTAAAAATGATCAGAGATCACAACAACAACAGAAACACAGAGAAGACTAAAACATTTACTAACTATAAACATTCCTGAACTGGTGTCCACACAGAATACAAAGACTAGTATAGCCTGATGTAATAACTTCTATTGTTTGCCTGCTATAGTTGTCTATATCAGCAGTTTTGTATCTCGTTTAAATTTCACTGTTGTCTTTAGTTCCTTCAGTGGTACCTACTTTACTTTCCACTGTTGTTCCCAAAAATGTTTGACTTAATAATGTGTTATAGTTACTGCAATCTTTGAGTATGTGTTATAGTTGCTGCAATCTTGGAGTTGTGTTATAGTTGCTGCAATCTTGGAGTTGTGTGGTGTTGTGGTTGCTGCAATCTTGGAGTATGTGTTTTGCTGTGTGGGTTAAAAAAAATAACTAATGCGGAATCCTGTGAATCAGGAAGAAAGGAAAAGAGGCTGGCGCTGGAAGGTCACATATTGTAAAAATGCTGACAACAGGATATCTAGAAACTTCCTCCAACAGAACAGATTGAAAAAAAAACCCACCTAAAACACTCAGAGAAGAAATTTAGAGATCTAAATAAGCAATGTTTCAGACATGGAGGGAGTTGACAGCAAAAGATAGGATGACTTAGTATGAATTGGGAGAGCGAGGGAAAGATATGTGAGGCACAAGAAGAACAAGAGGAAGTCAATAACTGTTGTCCCCTACAATTTTTCTGCTCCGATTTGCAGCATTCATGTTATTCAAAACAATTAATTCAGAACCCTAAAACAATTTTTAAAAGTAATTTTTCACTGACAGCATTACTGGAATCTATTGTTGTCTGAAGAATATTTAATAACATTAACCTGTTTCTGTGCTCAGTATCCATTTGTGTTTTTCTATGGTTTTCTTTAATAAAATGTTAAAATGCCACGTCAGGTTTGTATAATTATGTGTTCTCATTAAACTAGCCTGTGTTGATCTGGGTTTTTGGTGTCATATTTATTCTGTTGTATTGTCACTTATCAATTTGCTTGAACAAACCTTAAACAAGAAAAACTGTGTGTCTGTGTTGGTTGTAGCATCACGTTGTATGGCTGAGTGCAGTTGATACAATGGCAAACCCCAGTGGTTTTTCTGGCACACTTCTTCCAAAATCTGCATGACAATAAACAAAGTATACATAATTTTCTTTATAGCAACAAAAAATCAAATTTAAAAAAATAAGAAGCATATTTTAGATCTGATGATGAAAACAGAAACTTTATGTGTGTGAACCAGAAGCACTTGAGCATAGCTCATTTGGCTCAGTGTCGTGAGCACTGAAGCCCTTCAGCCTCGGCGCTACGTACACAGTTAACCTGGGGAGTATGCAGCTTTTCTGCCATCCCCTGGCTTGAACCCAAGACTGGACACGTATGGGGATTGTCACCTAATGTCCAACACGCTATCAACTATGCTGGAGCGCAGAGCAACATAGAAACAAACAAAAACATACTTTCAAATATCAATGAAAATAGGTTACTGAAGATTACACCAGGCTAACTAAAGAAACCAAATCATTAGAGAAGGAATAGGAAATGTTTAAAAGATCCATTTTAGAAGCAACAAGAGAAACATGGTAAAGAAGAGAAGCACAAGACCATTAATAACACCACCATGAAACATGGTACAGAAGAGAAGCACAAGACCATTAATAACACCATCGTGAAACATTGTACAGAAGAGAAGCACAAGACCATTAATAACACCATCGTGAAACATGGTACAGAAGAGAAGCACAAGACCAATAATAACACCATCATGAAACATGGTACAGAAGAGAAGCACAAGACCATTAATAACACCATCGTGAAACATGGTACAGAAGAGAAGTACAAGACCATTAATAACACCATCGTAAAACATGGTACAGAAGAGAAGCGCAAGACCACTAACAACACCATCGTGAAACATGGTACAGAAGAGAAGCACAAGACCATTAATAACACCATCGTGAAACATGGTACAGAAGAGAAGCACAAGACCATTAATAACACCATCGTGAAACATGGTACAGAAGAGAAGCACAAGACCATTAATAACACTATCGTGAAACATGGTACAGAAGAGAAGCACAAGACCATTAATAACACCATCATGAAACATGGTACAGAAGAGAAGCACAAGACCATTAATAACACCATCGTAAAACATGCTACAGAAGAGAAGCACAAGATCATTAATAACACCATCGTGAAACATGGTACAGAAGAGAAGCACAAGACCAATAATAACACCATCGTGAAACATGGTACAGAAGAGAAGCACAAGACCATTAATAACACCATCGTGAAACATTGTACAGAAGAGAAGCACAAGACCAATAATAACACCATCGTGAAACATGGTACAGAAGAGAAGCACAAGACCATTAATAACACCATCGTGAAACATGGTACAGAAGAGAAGCACAAGACCAAATAATAACACTATCGTGAAACATGGTACAGAAGAGAAGCACAAGACCATTAATAACACTATCATGAAACATGGTACAGAAGAGAAGCACAAGACCATTAATAACACCATCGTGAAACATGGTACAGAAGAGAAGCACAAGACCATTAATAACACTATCGTGAAACATGGTACAGAAGAGAAGCACAAGACCATTAATGACACTATCGTGAAACATGGTACAGAAGAGAAGCACAAGATCATTAATCACACCATCGTGAAACATGGTACAGAAGAGAAGCACAAGACCATTAATAACACCATCGTGAAACATGGTACAGAAGAGAAGCACAAGACCATTAATAACACCATCATGAAACATCGTACAGAAGAGAAGCACAAGACCATTAATAACACTATCGTGAAACATGGTACAGAAGAGAAGCACAAGACCAATAATAACACCATCATGAAACATCGTACAGAAGAGAAGCACAAGACCATTAATAACACCATCATGAAACATCGTACAGAAGAGAAGCACAAGACCATTAAAAACACCATCGTGAAACATCGTACAGAAGAGAAGCACAAGACCATTAAAAACACCATCGTGAAACATGGTACAGAAGAGAAGCACAAGACCATTAATAACACCATCATGAAACATCGTACAGAAGAGAAGCACAAGACCATTAATAACACTATCATGAAACATCGTGACAGAAGAGAAGCACAAGACCATTAATAACACCATCGTGAAACATGGTACAGAAGAGAAGCACAAGACCATTAATAACACCATCATGAAACATCGTACAGAAGAGAAGCACAAGACCATTAATAACACTATCGTGAAACATGGTACAGAAGAGAAGCACAAGACCATTAATAACACTATCGTGAAACATGGTACAGAAGAGAAGCACAAGACCATTAATAACACCATCGTGAAACATGGTACAGAAGAGAAGCACAAGACCATTAATAACACCATCGTGAAACATGGTACAGAAGAGAAGCACAAGACCATTAATAACACCATCGTGAAACATGGTACAGAAGAGAAGCACAAGACCATTAATAACACCATCGTGAAACATGGTTCAGAAGAGAAGCACAAGACCAAATAATAACACTATCGTGAAACATGGTACAGAAGAGAAGCACAAGACCATTAATAACACCATCATGAAACATCGTACAGAAGAGAAACACAAGACCATTAATAACACCATCGTGAAACATGGTACAGAAGAGAAGCACAAGACCATTAATAACACCATCGTGAAACATGGTACAGAAGAGAAGCACAAGACCATTAATAACACCATCGTGAAACATGGTACATCGAGAAGCACAAGAATTAATAACCATCATGAAACATCGCACAAGACCATTAATAACACTATCATGAAACATGGTACAGAAGAGAAGCACAAGACCATTAATAACACCATCATGAAACATCGTACAGAAGAGAAGCACAAGACCATTAATAACACCATCATGAAACATCGTACAGAAGAGAAGCACAAGACCATTAAAAACACCATCGTGAAACATCGTACAGAAGAGAAGCACAAGACCATTAATAACACCATCATGAAACATGGTACAGAAGAGAAGCACAAGACCATTAATAACACCATCATGAAACATGGTACAGAAGAGAAGCACAAGACCATTAATAACACCATCATGAAACATCGTACAGAAGAGAAGCACAAGACCATTAATAACACCATCATGAAACATCGTACAGAAGAGAAGCACAAGACCATTAATAACACCATCATGAAACATGGTACAGAAGAGAAGCACAAGACCATTAATAACACCATCGTGAAACATGGTACAGAAGAGAAGCACAAGACCATTTAAAAACACCATCGTGAAACATGGTACAGAAGAGAAGCACAAGACCATTAATAACACCATCGTGAAACATGGTACAGAAGAGAAGCACAAGACCATTAATAACACAATCATGAAACATCGTACAGAAGAGAAGCACAAGACCATTAATAACACCATCATGAAACATCGTACAGAAGAGAAGCACAAGACCATTAATAACACCGTCGTGAAACATGGTACAGAAGAGAAGCACAAGACCATTAAAAACACCATCGTGAAACATGGTACAGAAGAGAAGCACAAGACCATTAATAACACCATCATGAAACATCGTACAGAAGAGAAGCACAAGACCATTAATAACACTATCGTGAAACATGGTTCAGAAGAGAAGCACAAGACCATTAATAACACCATCGTGAAACATGGTACAGAAGAGAAGCACAAGACCATTAATAACACCATCATGAAACATCGTACAGAAGAGAAGCACAAGACCATTAATAACACCATCGTGAAACATGGTACAGAAGAGAAGCACAAGACCATTAATAACACCATCATGAAACATCGTACAGAAGAGAAGTACAAGACCATTAATAACACTATCATGAAACATGGTACAGAAGAGAAGCACAAGATCATTAATAACACTATCATGAAACATGGTACAGAAGAGAAGCACAAGACCATTAATAACACCATCGTAAAACATGCTACAGAAGAGAAGCACAAGACCATTAATAACACTATCATGAAACATGGTACAGAAGAGAAGCACAAGACCATTAATAACACCATCGTGAAACATGGTACAGAAGAGAAGCACAAGACCATTAATAACACTATCGTGAAACATGGTACAGAAGAGAAGCACAAGACCATTAATAACACCATCGTGAAACATGGTACAGAAGAGAAGCACAAGACCATTAATAACACTATCGTGAAACATGGTACAGAAGAGAAGCACAAGACCATTAATAACACCATCGTGAAACATGGTACAGAAGAGAAGCACAAGATCATTAATAACACCATCATGAAACATCGTACAGAAGAGAAGCACAAGATCATTAATAACACTATCATGAAACATGGTACAGAAGAGAAGCACAAGATCATTAATAACACCATCATGAAACATGGTACAGAAGAGAAGCACAAGATCATTAATAACACCATCGTGAAACATGGTACAGAAGAGAAGCACAAGATCATTAATAACACCATCGTGAAACATGGTACAGAAGAGAAGCACAAGATCATTAATAACACCATCGTGAAACATGGTAGTAAAGACAGCAGTGAATGAGCAGAAATGTAGACACCAGGCATGGGCCAAAAGTCAAGATGATTTTGAAGAATGCCCAGGGGCGAGAATGATAGTTAGAGATATCAGAAACCCCAAAGAAACATTATGGCAAGATACAGCGAAATGTTGAGCGCTGACCAAATAAGTGCTATGAAAAACTTTTATCAACAAAATAAAGCTTTGAGAGGTAGGAACAAACAATATGACCTAACACAAATTATAAATGACAAGATGGGGAGTCCTCATAAATGAACCACAAAAGGTCCTAGAAAGATGGCGTCTACATTTCAACGTTGGACTGTTTGTGTTAGCACTTCGGATGGCTACCGTATGCTTTAATGCGAGTGTATGCTAGATATGCTGAGACAGCAGTCTGTCAATCTTTCCACAAGGGACTGTGATAAACATTCTGGGTGTTTTTCGTTGGCACAGGAGTGGAGCAAAGATGGGGCGACCCGTTGCTATGAAGCTGAAACTAAGATTACCAGACCATTTCAACGAAATACTTAACTTATATTCAAAACAATGTTTTCCCATACTGAAT